ATGAGACGAGCGAACCACCATAAAACCACAACTACCAAGATGTCCCCACCCCCTCCTTGATTTTGATCTTCCAAAATCCTGAGATCACTTTCCTCTCCTGGTGATTACAGATTTGTTCGCTGCGGATGCTCGGGCGTCTCAGCTGACAAGGGAAGGATGGTAGGTCGAAGTGGCCATTTGAAATGAAATGTATACCGGCTGAAAGGTCTTCGGACGGGAATTACGAAACCGTCTTCCATATCTGCTGCGGACCTCCCAGAAAGAAGTTACGGAGCTTTTTAGGGGGAGAATACACTACAAATTGGCGGCGTAAGGCTGACGAGATCGTGGCAGCATGGCCGAGTGGATACGTCGTAGGGCTCACGGATGCGTGGTCGAGGGTTTGGATCCTTGATGCGTGTGCTCTTTTGCATTTTTTCGAAAGTGGTCCCTGTGCACTTCAAAGCTATTTTGCATAACACTTGTCCCTGATAATGTCGTGACGTAATGATTCTGAACTGATGGAGCCATTGCGAACGATTTCATGGAGATCACCTCCGGCTGAAAAGATTGTCATACGAGCCGAAAACTTCCAGCAGATACGAAAACACTCGTAATTCAACATTGAGTGGTGAATGAAGCACTTGCCATCGCGATCTCCAGCAGCATGATGGTCACATCAACGCCACTTTTTCCCCACTAGACTCATCTTCGTGCACAACTTCGTGCGTTCGGATTCGTTTTCCAGTCATGTCGTTTGGAGAATAAAGTCATTTGAAGGCAAAATCTTCCTTTGGAATGCACTTTTGTTGTGTATGCTTTTCAAATCAAAGAAAGAAGAAGACAACAGCCAGAAGTGATCTCTATGGAATGGTTCGCAATGGCTCCATCAGTTCAGAATCATTACATCACGACATTATCAGGACAAGTGTTATGCAAAATAGCTTTGAAGTGCACAGGGACCACTTTCGAAAAAATGCAAAAGAGCACACGCATCAAGGATCCAAACCCTCGACCACGCATCCGTGAGCCCTACGACGTATCCACTCGGCCATGCTGCCACGATCCATCCATCCTTACGCCGCCAATTCGTTTACCCTCTCTAATATATTACCCCTGTATTACCTTTCTCAGGAGGTTCGCAGCAGATTATGGAACACTGTAAATCTCGTAATTTTGACCATTCGAGCCGGTTATAGCCTTTTATTTCAAATGGCCACTTCGATCCCTTATCGCATAACCTTCCCTGTGAGTTTTTAGGTGCTCAGCTCATTCTATTACTTATATCTATTGAAGCGGGTAAGCGAAGACTAGGTGGATGAAAAACGGGCTGCGCTATAACCTCAGCCTCGCCCGCCTCTCCATCTGGAATAGCTTTCAGCATCCATCAGCGAATCAGGACATTAGATACAACACCGCGAGGTTTTCTAGACATTACTGCTTTTGCCCCAGAGCGGATTATGGTGTGACCGTCAATAAGCGAGGCCATCCTCTTAAAGAGAAGTGTCAAGCTCAATGCTGTTATTGTTCAGCTAAAAAGTTTAGTGGAACGCCAGCACTGCCACGGGAATAGCAGAAGTAATGCGGTTCTGAATCCCGTGCAGTTTGGTCCGACTTTTGCCCAAACTCAGATTTGGCGAAGTGCACTGCTTCTGTGGATCCTGGTCCATTGTCATGAGTGAAGAAGATGGTTCGCACAAGCTTCAGAAGCTTTCCCCATTCGAAAAGCACGGAAACGGAGGTAAGATTGGTTGTCAAAAACCGTATCCTTGATCCGACTGTGTCTCCTCTATGGTACTTCCGCTTGTCTTTACGGCTGAAGAACTATTTCTTGCTGCGGGACGATGTAATCTGACGCAATAGAAGTAGCACACTTGGGGACAGCGCGGGCCGGTAGCATGGAAACGAGCCGTCTCGGGGTACCAATACAATATAGCCCAGCTTCCCTGCTTTTTTGATCGGATAAAGTGTCACGCTACTGCAGCTGCGGATCTATTCGTCTCACAGGGGGCGAACTCGCAGTGAGGATCAACAGTTGATGCTCCAAGGCGTTCCCAGCTTGTTTATGCCTTCAGTCTGCCCCGGCCTCACTAAGCACAGTGCATAATGTTTCGACATCGCGTAGTACCATTAAATCGTAAGGAATTTTTGAGCATAATTTCCGCCTATTCGAGCGAGCTACCAAAATCGCGCTCCGACCGACTTACTCCCCAATCAGGTACTGGACGATCCAGTCAGAAGAAAACTTCTTCCAGAAATTCCATCAGCTCATCGATCAGCAGCGAAGCGCAGTCAGCCGTGGTTGTGCCATTCGAGAGTCGCACGTACTGCGGAGTAAGAGCGCTGCCTGCACATACGTTTGACTAAAACTGGAAAAGACGAAGAGCTGGCGTGGAAATGATACGCGTACTACTTTGTGGACTTACAGGACAAAATGGCCCGTCACCTGGGCAAAACTTAACTAAATTGTCTTTCCCTCCCTCTCTCACCATGCCCTCAACCGTAATTCACCAACTGGGTTTATACTATTCCACATGAATGTACGTGAAGGCGGTGGGTGCGTTGGCTAGGAATAAGAGCACCAACGCCGCCACCATTGAAAAGAAACAAAAATGTGTTAAGTGGCATACCGAGTGAAATCGATGAACTCACTATTGAGGCTTGCGAGGTGAACGAGCACGAGTCACCATAGGAGCATCTGGTTGATTCATTGCTTCAAGAACCGACGGTGCAACATATGTGAAACCAACAAATGGATTATCACCGGTAAAACTGCAACAAATTACCTTTATTAACAGAAGTAACTAGTTTCAAACAATGCCGAAAGGCCAACAATCGAAAGAACTGCTTTTACACAACTCGAAAGAACAGCTTGTGCTCACCTGAACGTTGACTCGCAAGGAGAATCCACGGGTGTCATCTTAGTAAATCGAGTGTCGAACAACGAAGCGTCTTCCTCGCTCTTCATTTCTGGTTTGAATGGCGGTTCCAGCTTGCAATGAATGAATAAATCATACGAATAGACATCAGGCTAATATCTAAGTAAACTCCTCAAGCTCATCCAGTTCATGCTGAATCAGCATGATGCGAAAATTTGTTGGAAATTTATGCGTGAGCTGATGTGCCCTTTCATTTTTGAATCAATAGCAATAAAATGATATCATGACACAATAGCAAAACTGCAATATAAATCTCGGGCGCTGTTTAGCGACGGGGGGGGGCATTTTGTACTAACATTGCTTCCCTAGTTCCGGTTTACGAATCTCACCATGGTAAAACTTGTGAACGCCTGTGAAGCTGGAGTAAGATCGTCTAGCCACCATCCTAAAACGTGTCAACTCGAGAAAAGGCTACCTAGATGGGTCGGCACATCTATGAAAAGCCGAATGCCCCTCCCCCCCCCCCCCCCCGTCGAAAGGCTACTAATCAGATGCCATAGGGACATTAGCGACAAAAGCACAACCCGCAAGAATTTCATTTATCTAAAAATGAATACGAAAGACGTGAAATCCACTCACCTCACTGCAGCAAAACACATTTTCAATTCAGGTGACGGAAGAACGGATGCTGCTTGATTTCTTCTGCATCCTCTGGTCCTGCAACAAATTCATTGAAAATTCCAAACACAGAACCAAAAACTGCCAAAAATTAATCTGTGACTAGCATTCATTACGGCCATAGGCTTTAATGAAACAGAAAAGCAATGGGAATAGGAAAAGCTAAGTGGCAGGAAGATGAACTTGGGAGGGTGGGGCTGTAATTAACATAATGGAAAGGACCGTCTTAAACTCACCAGGAAAGGTCATCAGGTCAGCCTGGCCATTTCCAATGAGGTGCACACCGTTGTGCGCGTCTTGAGACGGTGAACTCAAATCTCCTTCAGAATTTGCGGAACGAGTCTCTGAGCGGAGTTATGGAGGGGTTTATCACCGCATAGTTGTTTTACATGCTATCGCGAGCAAACGTGGAAGCGTCTTTACATTTATGTATGGAGTCGTTCTGAAACGTGGTAAGAGCGCAACGGATAGAGAGTGGGTTTCCTAGGCGAGACGTCGTGGGTTCAAGTCCCGGCGGGTAGCACACTTTTGCATTTGGCCAGAGCAGCAACGCGGCTTCTAACACCTCTGCTCACCTGCACTATCCTGTAAGGAGACTGCGATCAGTTTTTGATTGAAAGTGTAGACCCATTGTGGCCTGAAAGAGTGCTTGTGCTTGTCCCCCTCGTAACACATGTTACAAGGGTTTTTGCAATGAAATACCATGATATCCATGTTCAGCGGGTCAATTTGCCCCTGGGGACAAGTTTCTAGCCAAATCTGACGTTTCGACCTAACTTGGAAAATGTGTGCCATCATTCTATAGACAATTAGGCCAGCAGCCGTTGGGTTCACCACATGAAGACTGGTTTCTCCGGATGCGAATTTCCTACCGGTAATCAGGAAAATGATGCAGGCGGCACGGCTAAGTGAGCCAGGTACTATTCTTTTGCGAAAATATAGGACTGAAGAGTTATTTCAGCTCGCATCTGTATGCTAGTCGTATCGTTGAGTCAGTCAGCCATGACTAACCTTACCCCAATTTTTTCGAAGCCGAGTCAGAACCTCGGATTTCGCTGAGGTGCCGTCTCTTGAGGTTATTTGACTCACTGAACACGAATATGATACCTGTTTTGCGCGAAAAGCGCTGTGAGTCGCGCTACATGTCCCAACGCTTTGGCGCCAGCGCGCCCGAAGAGAGAAAAACGTAAAGAAACCTCCACAACTCCGCTCAGAAAATCGTTCTACAAATTTCAAAAATAGTTTTCAGTTCATCGTCTCAAGGCGTGTGCAGCTCAGTGCATATGGCCAGGCTACCTGTTGACCTTTCCTGGTCAGGCGCGGTCGGAGAAGTTCGGGGACACTTTTTGTGATATCCTGCAAACTTCCGTAAACCTTGTAAAGCACGCCTGATTCTAATCGAGTTTTTTAAATCGTGTAGAAATCGCAACTCCGTGCTATGTCTCTGTAGACTGTATTCAGACTTCGCGACGGATCGGTCTCGAGCGATTGGATCGCCGCGGCCACCACGGGGCCGCTCCGCAACAACGGGTGCAGCGCCGCAACGGCACAATTCAAACTGGCACTGTGTGAACGCGGTCCAGTTTGTATTCTGTCGTTTCGGCGGTGCACCGATTGGCGAAAGACGCCCCTGCTCGTGGTCGGCGTGATCCATTAGCTCGAGAGCCCGATCGCGAAGTCCGCAACGCGATCTGGCCATCGCACATGCCTCAAGCAAACTTCCACAAATTGATTTGGTCGCCATATTAGGATATGGCAAGTTAATAAAGAGTGGTCGGTATTATTGACCCGTTTTGAGAGACCCAGCGCGATACCTCGCATCGTTTCATGACCACATGAACTCAAGCAGTCCTCACCTGCTCCAAGCCTCGTCTCAACATGTCTCTTTCAGCAACCTCTTGATCAAATCACGCGCTTCCACAGATAAGTACGCAGGTAAGGTGAGTCGGCCCTGAACAGAAACGTAATACGTCGATTTTTGACGTCATATAAAAAAACTGAAGGAATCGAATGAAATGATGACAGATGAGAACATCGAATAAGTGAAAAGCAGGAAGCGCACTCCATAAAAGCTTCAGTATTCCCAACATGTTGAATATAAGTTACCTTGAGAATCTTGTCGATAGTCTTCTTTCTGTTCTCGGCAGTGAATGGAGGTCCTCCGGTTAACATATCAAACATCAATGCACCCAAACTCCACCAATCAACTGCTTTTCCATGACCACATCGCATCAGAATCTCCGGCGCCATGTATTCTGCGTGGTTCACGATGAAGGTTTGATTACCACTATTTTGAACAGAATAAAATCTATCGGTGACATTTAGATCTGCGGTCTCTCTTACACCTACACGGCTACTCCCAAACCGGTGGCTATCCCAGTATCTATGATTGAAGTATTCCGCCAACATTTGACCGCTAATTCCGCCAGTGGTAAGAAATCACTTCTTAAAATCGAGCGGACCGCTTCTGGTCAAAATGCAAACGCTTTCCAGCATCTTCTAACCGCAAACGCCTCATCTCACGGAACTTAAACTCAATTTTGATCGAAATTTTTCCCTTGAGATAGATGTGGCCAGAAAGTTGTTCCCAAAGATCCTTTGGCGCTTTGAAAGGAATGCCACATCCGTTTGAGCAGAAAACGCTTGATGCTCGCGCTACAGACGCTTGCAGAAGTGATACCCGTGTTAGCAGGTCAAACCACCATCTCAGTGGGGCGGGCAGGAGGCAACCTTGTAACTACTCCTGGGCCAAAGTTATTTATTCGTTTATGTTTGCAAGCAAGGTGCTTCATGAGAAGAATTAATAGAAACGGACACTTCAAATAGGTTATTCGGAGGAGTCGAAGAGGCTGTCTCTCTGACTGAAATTGAGAACCTCTGACGTAAAACCATGGCTCAATTTGCCAGCTGGATAAGAATATTTCGATAAAAATCCAGCTTCAAATTCGAAAACTGGGGCAGCGGAAAAGAACAGCGCTCGTTATTTTCAGGGGCACCCTATGACTACGCATCAAAACCAGGAGAACACCAGGCCAGAGCTTAGAAACCAGATTAAAGTATCTGATGGCTAGAGGGTGGGAGCTACAGCGTGACTTATTACAACTTATTAAGCTGTAACTCGAAAGTCGAAATTGAGCGTCTATGAAGGAAGTAACAATCAGAACTTGCTGCCAACCTAGAAGCTAGATTGGGAGGAAAATCTAACAAAGAGGTAAAGTGAGAAAACAAAACTGTAAGCACGGTAAAGGATCAAACCAATGTTCCACAAAATGTATGCGTCTTCTGATCGCCTTCTATTGCTTCCTTGCAAAGTCCAAAGTCAGTGAGTTTCACATGACCACGTGCATCAAGAAGAATATTCTCCGGCTTGAGATCCCGATAAATAATACCTGAAATAATAACTTTTTCCCTTCGGCTCATTTGTAGTGAAAACACAGTCTCCTTGACCCCTTTCCAACAGACCGATTATTAGTTAAAATGGTAAGGTTGCGTTCATATTTCTCGACTCGAGCGATTAACTTGTGCGACTCGCCAATCGCGACCAACTGCGCTCCACTGCTAATCATTGGGCCGTTGCAAATCACGAAAGTTAATTCAATTCACTCGCATGCAGAATAGAACTACTTTGGACATTTTGCAGTGGTCGTACGATTATCGACGGGTCGCTCTAGCCGCGAAGTACAAACGTGACCCAAAACAAACAAGTCACTTGATATTTTGGCAGCCAGTCGGAGCGTTGTCAGTAAGTATGGAGTGAGCCCACTCGCGGCGTTTTCACCACTAGTTAATTTCTTCTTGAAGCGATCACTAACCGCCTCTACTGGGGGAGCGAAAACGGGCTCATCCCGCCCCTCCTGACACCACCCGACTGACTGAGACGATATCAGCTATATCTGTTAAGGCTCGCCCAATAATGTATGTAAACAAATTTAGTCAGATTTGGTATTCCAGAGTAAAAAGAATTCGACCCCTAGTTAAACTAGTCACATCAGAACAATAATCTGTTAAAAAAAGCAAAGAATACCTTTGCTCGACACAAATTTAAAGGTAAGCAAACTCTTACCCTGTCTATGCAAGTGCTCCAAACTGACAACAATTTCAGAGAGATAAAATGCGGCTGTGTCCTCCAGAAACATTCCTGCAAATCAAAAATTCAAAACTCGTCGAAAAAAAGAGGAAAAATGTCAAGGAGCTGAAGGAGATAACGGCGAGGTTTTCAGGAGCTTTCTTCAGTAGCCGCTTATAATCGCTTAAAGCTCTCACAGAAAGCCTTGCAAAAGGAGGTTCCCAAAGTTGTTTCAAAAAGTCTTGAAGGAGGAGGTGTAGATTCCTTCAGATGTTACGGATACGTTGCAGAGACTCTCCTACCGCTAGGATTGGTAAATCAGAAACCCTATTCTCTGGGGTACAAGGCGCATCTAGCTCTTAGGTGGCAGAAACGCACGCGACGCATGAAACTATGGCGGCATGTTTAAAACAAAGCGGCTGCTTTTTATGTCTTTTGCGCGTAGATGACAATAAAAAAGCTCAGAAAAGGAAAACGAATGAATAGATTTGCGGTGTTTGAGGTCATGACGGTGCGCCTAAGGCAGCGCGTCGACGCGCTGTATCACTCGCGCAATCACTGAGGGAGAGATTAGGAGGGTAGCGCTGCCTAATCACACATAGCTTTGATCGGCGATGCCGCTTGCGTTTTGGAAGAGTATAGAGAAAAAGTAGGGTACCAGAATTGTGGAGGCAGCGCCTACCTTTCTGGTATCCTAGAATCTCTCACAAAACAAGCGGCCTGCACCGATCGATACTCATATGCGGTTACGCTTCCGTCTACAGCACCGAAGCGCCACAGCTTTTTTGTGGTTTGAAATAGCGTTCAGGCTACGCGATGAAGCGTCAAAGCGCGTTATCGCGAAGTCTGACTGCCTCAAACCACAGAAAACAGGGTTATTACTATTGATTGTTAAAACTTGAATTTTTTTACAATACAAAAGCAGGAGAGGAAGGCAATTCTGAATTTTACAAGGACCGGATTTGGAAAAGAGAGCAAATGGATCTTGAGGACTTGAATTTCGCAGCACGCTGATTAAACGAAGAAGAAACTCGAGCTCTGACTAACGCACAACTTGTGGAATTGTCATGAGCACTTAATGACTCAATCGTCACACGTACCTTCCCTTTCTAAATGCATGAAAAGTTCTCCTCCGCTGAGATATTCTAGAATAAGATATAATTTGCCGCCAGTTTGAAACGCGTAAAGCAGATCACAAATGAATGGGCTTTTGACGGCTTCCAAAATGTTCCTTTCAGCCTGAAATAGCAGCACTAGTGGCAAATATACAACTGCACAAACATCCTTGAAGTCTAAAGAAAAAATGAGCTTAGGAGGTTTACCATTACCTTAGTATGAGCAGTATCCTTTTGATTTCTGACTATTGTCGCTTTTTGTAAAACTTTCATAGCAAATATTTTTCCTTTATCAGAACCCGTCGTTTTCTTCACTTGAAACACCTGAACACGGAAGAAATGACTTATTGTTAGCAATCAGACGCAATTAGAAGTAATAGAACACTCCGACAAAACCACCAGGGATAAGATTATTTGCCCCACCGTTTACCCAGGCAGATTTTTCCGTCAGTGGGTATTTAGTGAGCAAGACCTGACCTAAGCACGGCCTCCATAGTTACGGCCTATCAGGAAAAGCTAATGAAGTGAGGCTCTTCGAACATGTTCCGTAGGAACGAGATAGTGCACAGCATTTGACGCGATATTTGTAATCTCTAGAGAATTCACACCAGCAGGACATTGCGTGATGATGAAAGGAATCGGTCGCTCAGTTCGACTCCCCTACCTTCCCCTTCTTCTTCACACAACCTTACCGCGACCACCTCCGACCTAAACGCTCAACTTCACCATCTTCGGCTATCTCTTCACCCAGATTTACATGAAATTTCACAAACTACGTCCATCAAGTAGGCAGAGGAATGAGATGTGCAGGAGTACATACTACAGCAAAAAGGCAGAAAAATCTCTATGTTGCCGGAAGCCTCCCACTAAACCCGATCCTTCCCAAGCTAAAGTGACCCCTTTCCAGCAATTCAGATAGCTCCCTCTCATTGAGCAATCCTCAAGTTATGACTGGATCTGATAAAACAGCACTGGTCAAGCGGAGTTAGTTTTCGAAACATTCCTGCTCTTTAATAAGTCAAGGACTAAACCTCACTGAATAGAAAAAAGCCCATAGTTGTTAGGACCACAAGAAAAGCCCCAAAATGCCACTTCTGGGGTATCGTCAACGGGAGTGGACAACATATTTTGGAAAAAAATGCCCCAACGTGTCATGCTAATACGATAGTTGGTGATCAGTTACAAAGCTCACCTTGCCATATCCACCTTTTCCTAAAACTTTGAGCAACTCAAAGTCTTTTGGGCCGACTCGAACGCCTTGATTGACGGCTATACATGACAAATCAATGGCTTCAACCATTGGATCTTGGCTAAAATGAGAACAAAATAAAAACAATAGGACGGGAAGAATAAGAATGAAGAGTAATCCACACTACGCACATGAATGAGGAGGATGGCGGCGGAGCGGATATTACACCCTGAAAAAGGTAAAAAGTAAGCAGCTTTAAGCACCAGTATGGGTGAAAACTGTATTTACTAAATCTTGTGATTTGTTGGGTTTAGTA